GACTGAAACCCCACTCCCCAAGTAATGCCAGCCACAACATTGTGAATTCCTCAGGGAGGTGCCAGTCTCATCCTCTTATCTTTCCCTCTCGCTTCAGAAGATGAAAGAAAATGTTTTTCTCCCTGAGTCTGGCCTTCATAATTCCATTCCATCACACCATGGCAGGCCTGGGCACAAGACAGAAACTTTCATGGATAACATGTGATGGGACCTAAGTGATGGGAGCATGGCCATCCTTGTTCTATTGGACCTTTCACTGGCTTTCAATACTGCTGACTGCAGGATCCTTCCAGACAGATTGTGTGGGCTGGAAACTGCAATGGTTTCACTTCTACCTGGTGAGTGGTCCAACTGGTGGTGACAGGAGGGGAGAGGTCAGGCCCTGGGCTCTCCACTGGAGTGTCCCAGGACTTGGTACTATCTCCAACCCTGTTTAACATCTACATGAGGCTGCTGGGAGAGATTATCCGATGGTTCAGGATGACATATCATCAATATGCTCCACAGTGGGCCAAATGAAGGGGAATGGTAGTTCTGGCCCAGTGCCTGGAAGCTGTCTGGGCCTAGATGGAAGAAGCAGGCCCAGAGAAACTAAGCAAGTTAGAGTGACTGTTACTTCAGAAGATTACTAATTCTGCTACCAACTTTGACTCTTGATGGGGTCATGCTCCCTTGGAGAGAGCTGGTCCAAATTTGTTTGTTTGTTTTCTGAATTCACAGCTCCTGCTAGAAAAGCAGGTAGAAACTGTGGCTATGAGGGCCTTTACTCAACTTCAGCCAGTGCACTAGCTGCAGTCCTACCTGGCACAGGATTTTATATATGTACTGTATGTATGTATGTATGTATGTATGTATGTATGTATTAAATTTCTATAGCTGCCCATCTCAATCAAGTGACTCTGGGCGGCGAACAATTCTAAAACAATAAAAACAATTTATGGATGCAGTGAGATCAGTCACTCATGCCCTTATCATTTCACAATTGGATTACTGCAATTTGCTCTACATGGGGCTGCCCTGGAAGAACATCTGGAAACTGCAGCTGATCCAAAATGTAGCATCCTATATGCTTATTCAGTAGTCTTGGTACTGCCATTGCTGGGGGAACTGCACTGGTTACCTATCTTTAAGTGGAATTTAAAAGTCTGGTCACTACCTATAATGCCCTATATGGTTCAGGGCCCAGGTATCTAAGAGGCCACCTTTCCCAGGTAGATTCTGCCTGCTGAATCCAGATGATCTGGGAGTGTTTGCTGAAGGTTCTCTCCTATTACAAGATGCAAGAGGAGTGGGCCCAATGGTAGGTATTCTATGTGGAGGCTTCCCTCTTTTGGAACAGGCTTGGTAAAAATGTGACTCTTTCAGAACACTTTTGGGGACTGATCACTGGGGACTTTCCAGTGCCAGAAGGTATTTATTATTAAAGTGTATTATATCATATTGTATCATATATTATTGAATTTTTAAAAATTAATTTGGATATTGTACATCACCTAGAATCCTAGTCGACTGAGGCAGTAAGATAAATTCTATTAAATAATTACTACATACTTAAGGCATGGGCAAAACTCGCCAATTCAGGAAGAAAACATTCTGGAGACCTTTGGAGCACTCCATTCCCCCTTCAGACCACACCAAACCTCTCCTTCATGGGACAATTTGGTGGTTTTCAGACATAAATGCAATTTGAGGTGCCCCAGAGGTAGTCCAACTCCAGAATGGGTCTTGCTATGGTAATAACCCTGAAGCATTCAAGCCTTCCTTTTGGCCACAATACATGGAATTTTCCAGCATGAAATATTCAGCATACCTTGGATAAATCTGCACTGATAACTAATATTTAATTTCACCATGTTCACCCTGAGTATATGGTTTTATGCATGCACAGTGGAAGCTCCCCATCAAACTAACTTAACATTTATTTAAAAATCTAACACTGGTAAGTTTTTCAAATATCCATTTGAAATCCCACAAATATTCATACTTTCTGAAATACTGGAATGCCTGCACGATGAAGATCCTGAAACTACAAAAACCAGCTCAGAAAATGGAAAAAAGTGAAAGTGGCAAGGAGTTAAACAACTTTACTACTGACAAGTCTATTACCATAAAAGAATGAACAAATCTGTAAATGGTTAATATCTTAGCTCTGAACTTAAGTACCAGATGGTTCAACATTAGCACACCAAGACTGCAGGGCACAGAACTAGAACATCTGAGTCATCATTGATTCAGAAGGAAATAAACCACTCCATGTAGTCTCTATGTTTTCCTGTGGTGATTTGCTTTTCTTAAGAATTCTTCAGTCCAAATGCTCAGCTCACACCTCCTTGAATTTAGGAGACAAGTCACAAGTCACTGCTTTTTTAAAACAAAGCAAATCAAAACAGTTCCCAGGAATAATTAATGCACAGAATATCACTATTGATATTGAAAGAGTATGGTTTAAATTTGTAGATCAAACTAGTATGTAGAAAGATTAATATCACATCAAAACTATGTTTCTTGTTTTATAAAAATATAGTTAATTTAATCAAAGACAAAAAATAAATGAGAATCTCTGAACTTAAGATTAATAGTATCTGTTCTGCTGGTATAAATAATGCCCCAAAGACTGAGACAGTGGGTGAGCATTAAAATGTTACTAAATTTTCAGGAATGAAGCAAAAAGTAAAAGGAAGGCACTTCTTAATAAACTATTCAAACTCTTCAAATCAGCACAAGCGTTCTTGACTTCATTCAAAACTGATAACACAAATAATGGGTCAAGAATGATAAATACCTTTATTTTCATATGTCTGTCCTCTAAACCAGTATTGTCTTTTCTCCGTAACTTAGCAACCCTTCAGATTTTCAGACCTGATCTTTTTCAGTTCTACCTGAAGATCATCTTTGTTCAAAATACTTGTGCCATCAATAAGCTACAATCCTTCAAGAATACCTTGGCTACCTTGTCAACCATGTTGCAAAGATGCTACAAAACTGTATGAAATAGAAGGTGCTAAATTAACACTTTAAATGTTAGTTTATATTTTTGGAAAGATGAATCTCAAAAAGTAGCCACAATCCATCAATAACTATGTTAGTGTTTAAGGGGTCATGATGCAGCAATTTTTGGTGGTAGACCAAAGTTTTAAAATCCCAAAAGCAAGAGGCAGAAGTCCAAAGTTGCAGGAAAAAAAATAGAAGACCAGAAGATGAACATTTTGCAAAAAATGCATCTACCTCCATTCAACAAGTTTTAAATACTGCCTTCCCCACATACAATGCTACTACATGCTTGAATCAGACCTCATGCTATCTTAAATGATGGTCTTTGTATTTCTTAAGCAACTTCAACGTAGATGATTTTAAAGGAATTCATAAAGCATAAAACTTTTGAACCAGGATCTCTCCTCAGTTAAAGAAAAACCCTAGAGCAGGAATTTTCAAACTTTTTCAGGCTTGGAACCTGTTTGTTAAAAAAAAAAAAATCCTCAGAACCTCATCAAGAGGCAAAGCTCTAGCAACACAGAAAATGGCCTGTGTTCGAGTGACTTTTTTTCTTTTCCCTTAGTCTCTCACAGAACCCTATCAAGTTCTTGTAGAACCCCAGGGTTCTGTGGCGTATGGTTGAAAAACCTGCCCTAGAGCATGCAGATGGTTCTGGGATTCTGTACTGTCCAATAGGAGAAAACATAACGTTGGGTTTTTAACGCACATAATTTACAAAGCCAAATGCATCCCACTTGTGATATATGTCACCTACCAAGTGCTTGACAAACCCATATTCATACTCCAGATTATTAAACAAAGAGAATTATTAGAATATCAATCGTTTCTGACTATACATTAACAACCTACTATTACTTCTTGTGCTGGTCTCCAAGTAAACCAAATTACTAATTCCACATACTGTTTCAACAGCTAAAAAGATGTAAATACCCTTGGCTTAAGAGACATTATTGTTTCTTCTCAAGAAGAAACCTCTCATCCAAACCACTGCAAACCACCTAATTCTC